TTGGCCAATTCAGGGTAATTTTGGTATGTATTTACCTAGAAAAGCTAAGTGCATGTGCCTCCCTCCCTTTTAAGCCCATGTGCCACAGGAGAGCAGATTATACGGAAAGGAACCTGGTTTCTCAGTACAAGCACAAGATCATACCACACTCACAAAGACGAGCTGGAGTGGTGACCTGTGACATCTAGAAACAACACGTGACAGGTAGGTGTATCAGAAGATAAAGACAAATATGCATTTTGATGGTCCCCAGAGACCTTTTTTGTTATTTTTAACAAATCCTAATTTTTTCTAAAATTTAAATACCTCTCTTTAGAGATACAGAGCAACTGGTGTGTTTGCGATGTAATATAAAACTGCTCATAGTAAAGGAGTGCTCCGGTGGCACAATAGTTAAAGCTCAATTTCAGTAGCTGCTCTGTTGGAGAAAGGAAGTAAAGGTTTGCTCCCAGAAGATGAGGGCTTGCTGGAAAATCCCATGGAGCAGTTCTCTTCTGTCATATATGGTTGTCATGGGTCCAGACTGACATGGCACACAACCATAACAACAAGAGTACAAATGTAGGCTTCACACAAGACTAAGAAATATTTTGCTATTGAAATATATAAATTTCCTACCTGATTCATAATTTAAAATTTCATTTTAAAAAATAAAAGCCATATGGATATGCAAAGAAAGAGAAAGAGACAAATGTTTAGTTTCAAGAAACCATCAACTGGTATAATATTTTGAGGACAGCATCACTCCTTTTTGTTATATATAAATAGATGAAATATATCCACAGGTCAACTAGTCTTTTATCTTGGGACTGTTGGGTAATAATTTCTTTTATTTCAACTCTAAATTTACCTCTAGCCCTGTAATTCTCCCGGGCAGGTTGTTCATCAAATTCATACTACCCCTTTGGCAAAGTCAATGTGGTAGGTACCTTTTCTCCAAGCCGTATGCTGCCACATTTCAGAATGTTAATGTCATTTTTGCAGTCATCCATGAAGCCACAGATGAGACGGTAATCACTGAAAATGATAGCTGTCATCTTGGTAATGTACTGGTGACACTGATACTCGGTGATGTTGCCTCTGTGGTCCACCAGGCAGGAAACCAAGTAGCCTTTTCCAACTGGTTCATCAGCACATTCTTTAATCTGCTCAAAACAAAGGGGCTGTTTTACACGAGTATCCCAGGCTCCTATCATCATGCAATGTTTATAAAAGAGAAATGTCTAATATTTTCCTGTTGATTTCCATTCTCTACAAAATGGTTATTTGAAGAGGGCAGAAAAAAATCTAGAAACACATTTGTTCTAATAAAAATAGTGTCATAAATACTCGCATGGTTTTGTCTAGGGAGTAGCTAATTAATAAGTTTTTCAAGAAAATATATACCCAATTACATAAGCTGAAATCATTTCTAAGTGGAGTAAAAAGAGATTTTAGCACATCCAGCTTTAGGATGATCCCATTAGACAACCATGCAAAGAATGCAGTGGACAGTATGGAGATAGTGTGGGGCAGAGGCCTGGAAACAGGTGCAAGACTCAAGTCTAGCTGTGGGTCCCAAGCCAAGGTACTAATGGCATGTCCCAACCCAAACTAATATTGTGAGGTAAGCCTTAAGGCCAAGGGGAGGGAGGAGGGAAGGCATTAAATTACTCTTTGACATGCTATTAATGTGTTCTGAATTAACCATGGATTTGAACATGTGTTTTTGAATGTAGCAGAACCCAGGCTTAACCACTGTGGTCTGTAACAGAAATGTGTTTAAAATGGTGTTCAGTGCAGTCTGACAAGAAGCTTGGGAAAAGGAAGACCACTGCAACCCTAATTTGGGCGGTTAAGACACATGATCTAGCATATCAAGCAGAGTGATTCCACATGGCCAGTGTTCCTGGACAAGGCATCTCCGACAATAAATGCTAATAAAGCAAATCAGTCAAACAGCATATGCATAAAACAGCAAAATCTACCTATAGGATGATAAACTTGAAATAAAATGCAGAGAAGATTGTTTGGGAAAAGTATATTTTACCTGAGGCAATTAAAAATAAACAAAAGCAGCCATTTTATTATGAGGAAGAAGACAAGTGAATGTTTGTTTTGAATATAAATGAGAAGGGACCCTGTCTTTCTTTCTTTTTTTTTAATGTTCTTCAAATAGTTCAAATATTAGAAGTAGTTTCAGAATGGAATGTGTTTTCTGACAATATATAATTTTATCTAGAAGGAAAATTCTAGAAATTTTATATATACTATAAATTCTTTAACAGAATAAGTCACATATAGTTGTATTGTGGGTAAAAAAAATCAAATGGAATATACACAGCAAGACACACTCTAATGGAACGTTTTCTATATGTTTAAGTCAATGACCTTTACATTCTTTAAGCTGTACAACCATGATGACCCACTTATTTTGAGTCTATTCTCCCCCTTAACACAAGCTCACTG